GTTTGGAATTTTATGGTGTTGTTGTTGTTCTTCTTCTTTTTTCTAGTTTTAGTTTTGTTTTCTTTTAAGCGGCGTATTTTCCATCATGATTTCACCAAAGTAGGTGAACAAATGCATACTAATTTCACAAATTGCACAAAAAAAGTGCAAGACAATTTTAAAATTGAAAAAAAATATCAAAACGAATTGAATCGAAACAAATAAAAAACACAACATTTCATACCTCGCATTTTGCATAGAAAATAGCCAACAGTGGAGGATTGCATTTTGGAAAGTTCGTTAGACATGACTAATGTCATTGATAGACGCAGCCGTCAATGATTGATCAATGTCTATTCAAATGTTAAAAAAGGAGAAGAATAAGCAAAACGCGTTGTACTAGTTTAGTACTGCGATCCCCTGTATGACAGAGTATTGTCTAGTTCAAAATATTCCGGATACTAACAAAAAACACAACTGGGTAGGGTATTAGTACTGCGGTCCACTACAAAGTCGAAAATGTTTCCGCAAAGGCGCTCTTTACATTTTTCATTGGAACAATTTTAGTCAATATTTTATGGAATTGCCTGAATTGCTTTTCCCTAGTCGAAAATTTTCTATAGCGGTCCACGTATTAGCTCATCTCGATATTCAACATTTTGTTGACTATGGTCAAATTTCTCAATTCGTTTGTTCGTAATAATAGCTTATTTGCATATATGGATATGGATATTAAATGGATATCTTAGAAAAAATATTTAGAAAATATAAAAACAAGTAAAAAAGCATAAGTTCGGCCGGGCCAATCTTTCAATACCCTCCACCATTTGGAACGACCTTGGCAAAAAAATAAAATCCGTAAAAAATTCTGTTAAAATCTTAACAAGTAAAAAAACATTAAGTTCGGCCGGGCCAAACTTTTAATACCCTCCACCTTATGGTGAAGGAAACATTAGAAGAAATGTGGCAAAAACCACTAAAATGCTGAATATCGGGAGGTACCGTTATATGGGGGCTATACCAAATCATGGACCCATACATGCAATGTTTCGCTACCGGAGTTGGAACCCATTATGGCCAACAAATACCAATTTTTAGACAAATCCGTGAAAAAATGTGGAAAAAAATCATCAAATTACCGAATATCGGGAGGTACCTTTATATGGGGGCTATACCAAAAAGTAGACCTATACATGCAATGTTTTGCCACACGTACAGGGACCCGTTATGACCTACAAATACCAATTTTCAGACAAATCCGTGAGTAGAGAGTAGATCAACTGTAACCCATCTATTAGAACTTATATGTCATGTACACAAAGGCTTTTCAATGAAATGCCAAACTGATATCATATTTATTTCAGTAAGGCATTTGACAAAGTAGATCATACATTATTATTATATAAACTGGACAAAATAGGTTTCTCAACATTATTTTTGTCATGGATATCATCATATTTGCAAGGACGTACTCAGAGAGTTTCTTTTAATAATATTCTTTCAAAACGCATAACTATGCACTCGGGTGTCCCTCAGGGTAGCCATTTAGGCCCACTCCTTTTTGTACGGTATCTAAATGACCTTCCAACGATTATTCATTATTCTAAAATCCTGATGTTTGCTGATGATGTAAAACTTTTTTGTAATATGAACTCTCACCTTAGGTCCCTAAATTTGCAACATGATGTATATTCTCTCGTAAATTGGGGCAGTGCTAATAGCAGGGGTGCTCAAAAAGAAATATCTCTTTTCAGTCAAATTTCTCTTTGCTTATTTAAATCAAGAGCAAAACAGTGTTAAGTCATTATTTATACAAATATTTTGTATCCATTTGTTTTATAAATAATTTTGGCAAACATTCGTGTTTAAAAACAATTAAATAGAACCGTAAAATATAAAGAAAAACAGAATTTTAATTTTCTCTTAAATTATCTCTTTTTTCTCTTCATGTTCTAGAACACGGTTTTGAGCACCCCTGCTAATAGTATGACACCAAATCTAAAGAAATGTAAAACATTGACTTTGTTTAGAGCAAAACCTTTTTATAATGATTACCCCATTGGCTCTCACAAATTGGACAATGTAGATTCATTCGTTGATCTTGGCGTAATTTTAGACAACAAATTGCGTTTTAACTTACATATTGATTCATGTGAAAATAATGTCAAGTCATTGCTAGGATTTATAAACCCGTATGTGACTAAGCGTTTTTTTACTAGCCTGGTTCGGCCCACTTTAGAGTACGGTTGTGTATTGTGGAGTCCTTTTTATAAAACATATTCTTCTAAATTGGAATTAGTACAAACACAATTCCTTTAATTCGCACTCAGAGTATTAGGATGGAATGTAAACAAAATACTTCCACCATATGAAGATCGCCTAAAACTTATTGATCTTCCGTCACTGAAAAATAGGCGATTAATGTTACGAGCTTTATTCATAATAAAAATTTGGCGTGGTGAAATCGGTTCTCAGTTTTTAACCTGTGAATTAAGTTTTAATATCCCTTCTCGTAATACCCGAAATTACCTACCACTAAAACTATCTTTGGCTAAGTCGAATTATGAATCACATAATCCTATGATGTCTTTATGTGATATCCATAACAAGTTATATAATAAGATATCATTGACCGAACCCTTGCATGTTATGAAATGTACTACTTTACATCTTTAGAAATAAATCAAGTAGTTGCCAGACACTCTATTCTATTATTATTTATAAGTTGTATGTGTGGTTTTTATTTTATAATTTGTTCAACCGGCTGATATCTAACTGTAGCTGGTTTCCCTAGCCTATTAAACCTCCATAGTTCGGACTATGGGGCGTACGCGCTCCCTACGTAATTATGAGGTGGCCCCCTCGATCGGCAGCGGCGGGTGTGAGTGGCGTTGGGATCGATCGAAAAAAAAATTAGCTAAAATCAGCAAAACTCCGAATATAGGGAGGTACCATTATATTGCGACTATACGAAGACGTGGACCTACACAGACAATTTTCTATCATAGGCTGTAGTATCTATTAAGAACTTCAAACACCACATTTGAAACGATTCCGTTCAATAATGCCGCTAAAATCATCAAAATATCGAATATCGGGGGGAGGTACCGTTATATGACAATTTTCAATTTTCTCTCATAGGCTGTAGTACTCATTTCGAACTTCAAATACCAATTTTGAAACAATTCCAGTGAATAATGTCGCTAAAATCGTCAAAGTACCGAATATCGGGCGGTACTGTTATATGGAGGCTATATGAAGACATGTGAACTTGTCCAGACAATTTTCTGTCATAGCCTGTACCATCCATTTCAAACTTCAAATACAAAATTTGAAACAATTCCGGTGAATAATATCGCTAAAATCTTCTAAGTACCGAATATCGGAAGGTACCGTTATATGGGGCTATGCGGACATAATATACATTTGAGTAAAATATTATCAACATACTTCATTTCGTTCGGAAGCTTGAGCAATTTCCACAGACGGTCATAAATCGACATAGAATTTTATGCTGATCAAGAATATATATACTTTGTGAGGTCTAAAATGTATATTTCGTGGTGTTACAAACGGAATGACAAACTTAATATACCCTCCATACTATGGTGGAGGGTATAAAAAGAAGAAGCAGAGAATGTTGGCTGTCATTGGTTATGCTTCTTCTTAATGGTAGAAAGTTAAAGCTGGTAGACAAAGTGTTGACAATGTTTTAGTAGACAAAAGGCGACACATAACCCCAGCCTGATTTTGCCGCCTATGTGACCAAGATTTTTTAGGGTGAAATAATTGCACAAAAGATTTAAAAAAAGTTCACGATATTTTGGGCAAGAAAGACTGTGAATAACATCAAAGGCTCGTTTTTGAAAAAAAAAAAACATTTTTTCAATTTTTTGGCGTATGTTTGGTGTTATACTTTTCACCACAAGTATTTCAAATTCGTAATTTGGAGCTAACAATGGGTACTAATTCCTTCCTGATATTTGAAATTTTTAACAAGTTTTTACGGGGTAAACGGATTGACACACAGTTATATGGCTATTTAAAATTTTATTTCTCTGTTACAGGATAATGCAGGCAAATCATTAAAAGAATCATGAATTTCATTAATTTTGTCATAAATACCAAACTGTATTTGTAAAGATTTGTTCAGGGTCGTTTTAAATTGAAAACCCAGTTGTAATTAAAAATCAGTTTTACTTTTTTTCAAATTAATGGCAAATTATTTCGGAAAGTACTTTAAAAAATTATTTCCATCTTTGGTTAAGGAAACAAAATTCTTCACCTAACATTTATATACCAACACACAACTCAAACATATCTAATGTCGAACCTACCAACAACTGCAACACAACTGTTTGTTAATTGATGTATTAGCTAATTATTTTTTGGTTCCGTATAATATTTATCTGTGTAAATGTTTGTGTTTTTATTTTATTCCTTGTAAACGTTTTTATTCGGTGTCTATTTCTTTATTCGTTATGTGTCTAACTAAAAAACTACGTTACTTTAAATGTTGTAAACTTGGCCTGTGGTCTGAAATGTTCCAACCAAAAAAAAAAAAAGAAAATGAAAACTCGATGTGTGTGATTTTTTTCTCAATCTCCCACTTGCTCAACATTATGCTCTCTCTCTCTCTCAATTCGATTTTGCGAATCAAAGATGTTCCTTTAAAATCTCGATGTTGACAATAAAATAAAAATTACTGCAACCCCTTTACCAAACGATTGGATTATGAAATGCATTTGATTACTAACTTTCATACATATGTTTCTTTATACATATATATATACCTATATCTGTTTACATTTATCTGTGTGTCTATATATCTTTCTACGTACATGTTTCAAATACTACTTGTCTATTTATTATCGTACCCTTTCTGCCATATCGTATTGTATTCTAGTGATTTTCCTCATTATTTCTTTAATTGGTGTTTTTTTGTAATTTCTCTTTGGCTAACCAATGGGTTTTAATGAAAATATTTGTTGTTTTTGTTTTTTTCTCTTGATCGATCCCAGGATGAGTTTCATCCGTTCATTGAAGCCCTGTTGCCGTATGTCAAATCATTTTCGTATTCATGGTTCAATTTGCAAGCAGCGAAGCGAAAATACTACAAAAAGCATGAGAAACGTATGTCCCTGGAGGAGGAGAGACACTGCAAGGATGAGTTACAGGTGAGTGGAATGCATGGCACTAATTAATTTAAGTGAATAGTTTCTATCTATTTTTTATTTTATTTTCAATTCTGAGAGACTGAGTAATCCTCGGCGGCTTCTATATATATATATATAAAAACTGAGGAATTTTTCCTATGAAACAAATCAATTCTCAACAACATAGGGAAAACTTCATCCCCAATCATTTTAATAAGCTCCGCCAAAGTATGGAGGGTATATTAAGTTTGTCATTGCGTTTGTCACACCTCGAAATATACATTTTAGACCCCACAAAATACACATATTCTTGATCAGCATAAAATTCCGTCCGTCTATCCGTCTATGGAAATAACTCTAGCTTCCGAACGAAATGAAGTGGGTTGATAAAATTTTATCCAAATGTGTATTAGGTCCACGTCTTCGTATAGCCCCCATATAATAAAACCTCCTTTTTTCCAGTATTTTGGTGATTAGAACGACATTATTCACCGGAAATGTTTCAAATTTGGTATTTGAAGTTCGTAATGGGTACTACAGCCTAAGACAGAAAACGAGCCATGTATATCCACGTCTTCGTATAGCCCCCATATAGCGGTACCTACCATTATTCGATATTTGTACCTACCGTTATTCGATATTTTTATGATTTTAGCGACATTATTTACCGGAATTCTTTCAAATTTAGTATTTGAAGTTCGTAATGGGTACTACAGCCTATGAGAGATAATTGTGAGTGCAGGTCCACATTTTATAACCCCAATGATACCTCCCTATATTGGGCATTTTGTAGATTTTAGCTACATTATAAACAGAATTTTGTTTTCAAGTTTTTTGAAAATTGCCAAATTCGTTACCAAATGGTGGAGAGTATTCAAAGTTCGGCCCGAACTTACAGCTTTTTTCTATAGGAAAAACTTCCTCCTCGTTGAATTTTTTCTTTAGGAAAACCCTTATAGTCAATGATTTTTTTATCGAATAAATTTTTTTTTATAGAATAGAATAAAGATAAAAATATTTTCATTTTTCATTTTAAAATTCAAAATTTCATTTAATTAATTAATTTTTCCCCTCTTCGCCTTGATTGCAGAACGAAAAAGCCGAAGTCAAACAGAAATGGGCTTCCCGTTTGCTGGGCAAACTACGCAAAGACATAACCCAAGAATGTCGCGAAGATTTCGTGCAATCCATAACGGGCAAACGCAAATCGATATGTGTCCTGTCCAATCCCGATCAGAAGGGCAAAATGCGACGCATTGACTGTTTGCGTCAGGCGGACAAGGTATGGCGTTTGGATCTGGTTATGGTCATTCTGTTCAAGGCCATACCGTTGGAGAGTACCGACGGCGAACGCTTGGAAAAGAGTCCCGAATGTATACACCCGGCATTGTGCGTGAATCCGTATCACATTAACGTCTCGGTGAGGGAATTGGATTTGTATTTGGCCAATTTCATCAATACCCATGATCCGCTGAGCAGTCCATCGCCCACATCGCCGCCACCGGGTACCCCCTCAACGCCATCGTTGATGCTGTACAGCAATGATGCCAACAGCACCAATAACAATAATACCAACAGCAATAACAACAACAACAACAGCAATGCCCCTGACAATAAGAAACGCCTTGAAGATGAGCGCAAGAACAAAGGTATGTATCGGCAGGATGAAGAGGATCATGTGAAGTTTTCTTGTATCAAGGACACTAACAATTCAGATGTAGACAACACACCATTTGCAGGCTACAGCCACAATCCCTACAATGGTGTTGTGTGCAATGATATAATTTTGGCCACGGGTGTATTCTCTTCCAAGGAACTTTGGAAGCTCTCAAAAGGTAATTGCTTGTTCTTCCTTCTTTGTTTGGGAAATGCTAGTCTAATTTGCTATTCACACTGACGTCCAGAGAGATTGATTTAAATTAAGAGCGTGAAAATTCTTTCGTTGTAGCTTCCATTTTGGAAGAAACCACCAACGATCTCATCCAGGCTAGTTCAATTAAATTGGAGCATCCGGCGGCCGCCTATGAGTGCAACACATATCAGATGTCGGCCTCAGCTGCCCCCCTGGGATCGGTAGTGGGTGGGGTGAACAGTGCTGGCATGGTGACCTCGGCCGATGGTCGTTCGTCGGTCAGTGCTTCCATGGTACTGCCCTCGGGTTATAGCAGTAAGTGGTGTCAGGGTAAAGTTCAGTGGACACTTTCCATATTCATATATTTTGTTCCGCCCTGCTTTAGTTGACTTTGTGGATCCACGCAGCAGCATGCATCTTTCGAATTCTTCCCTCCTAAGGGCCTCCTCGGCAGCCACCTGTAAGAGTGATCCGAACGGTTCGCCCCAAGACGGAAGCAGTTTCTCTGTGATATTAAGGCAAAATGAAGACAATGGCAGTAATGGTGGGGCGGGAACTTCCTCAGCCACCAATGCCGAAGATCCAGCTTTACAAAGATACACCCCAACAAGCAATCGGGTTTTGTTGAGCATGGGCCAGATGCGACCGGGAGAAGGTAGGAAATGGCTCTTCGATGACTTTGTATTGTAATAATAAACCTCTTTTCATCTCTCAGTTCTCATGCAGCACAATGTCAGCTCATCCTTGGTGCCAAATTCGGTTAGCCCGGCTCTGTACTATCCCCAGCAAAATAGTCCCGGCTCAAATCCCAATGAATCGGCCGAAGAAGCTCATCATGCTGCCCAGCAACAGCAGCAGCAACAACAACAACACCACCATCATCATCATCAACAGCAGCAGCAACACCATCAGCACCACCACCAGCATCAACTGCATCAGGCCTCAGCGACGCCCAAATATGCCACAGAATTGGTACAGCACGGCCAGGATATGTCGGAATTTGTGGCCTATGTGTGCCAGGACACTGGGGGTATACATCCAGCCAATGCTGGAGATCCATCCGATCTACATGTGCATCACCATCAAACGTCTTCCCATTTTCAATTGCAGCACGCTGCTGCCGCCGCTGCCGTGGGTCGTGGTCCCAAAATATCGGCCGTATCGGCTGCCGCAGCTGCAGCTCACTACCAGCAGTACAGCACCATGTTGCCGCCACCACCTCTGCCGCCCATGGCCCGACCGGTAGCCATCATACGTTCTACGGGGGACTTGACAATGGTGGCATCGCCACCAACTTCAACCGCCATATCACCACCACCGCTGACGAGTGTATCCTCGGCTGGTGATTCGCCGCGTCATCATTCGCACAGTCATCAGAGTTTGCAGCATCATCCACATCACCACCATCATCATCATCACCATGGTCATGGTCAGCAGCAGCAGCAACAGCAACATCATCAACAGCAGCAGCAACAACACACAACCATTGATCACACCTCGAGCAGTGGTCTCACTTCAATGTCTTCTAAACTTACCAACACAACCGCCTCCACGAGTTCCGCCCAAGACACAACGGCTTCCAACACCACCATAACTGTGGGTAGCGCCACCACCAATAATTCTTCCGATCTGGTGGTTGCCTCGACAGCATCCGCCTCGCCGCCTCCAGCACCCACACAATCACCGCACCCCCATCACATCATTGATGTGGCACGATGTAAAACCTCGCCCACATCGTCGGCATCAGCTGTGGCGGTGTCAACGCCCACATCAGCTCTGACACGCATCTCGGCCCAGCCATATCCGAACACCAATGGTCGTGAATACTTTAATCATTTCCATACGCAAACAACGCCGGTAAGTGGAGTATCGCGAATGACTTTTATTTGTCTGGGTAAATTTGGGCAGACACTGTCGCATGGTTGGGTGCGATGGGACCCTGGGTCCGGTCCCCCTAACGAAGTGGTTAATTTTCTGATATTTGTTGTACAGTTTACAATGAAAAGTTATTTTTTTTTTGCACTCCCAAAAAGGTACCAAAGAGTATTTTTGTGAATGTGGGAGTGGAGAGAATAGGATGAGGCAGAATTTAACCTTTTGCTAAATGTATTACATTTTGTCTTTATTCAAATTCGTACAATGAGGGTACGGAACATACCATAGCGGAGATTTTGTTTAACATAATATGCATCTATCGGACACTGTCTAAAGAGGGTCTATATTGGGGGAATGGCAACCCATACATATGCAATGGCTCCTGCACACACACTCCACAAATTTGAGAGTACGCCTGCACTCCCCATGGTCATCGTGTGTAAATCATTGCCAAACTTAATGCAAATGTATTGAGTACTACAGTCTATGACAAAAAACCAGTAAAGAAAGTCTTAAAGTCGGGCGGGGCCGACTTTATGATACCCTACACCACTTTGCTAATTTAGTAGAGCTCATACACATACACAATCATATACGCGATGATTATAATTATAATTTAAAGTTCAAAGGACTAAATATGCCGAAGCATTTGTATTTTTTAAATTCGGACTTGTATTGCCCATTTGGTGCACACTTAATTAGAAATCGGATAAAAATATATATGGGAGCTATATCCAAATCGGAACCGTTCTCGATAAAATTTGGCAAAGATATTTCTGAGCTGTATTTTATATATTTCCCTGAATATCGTTGTTACGGAGTGCATATTACGGCTGTGGGTAACAAATATGACGAATCGGATAAACAGTATATATGGAAGCTATAGCTATATCTGAACCGATCTTCACCAAATTTGACATACTAACTTCTAGACTCAATTCCGTCGTATGTGCCAAATTCCATCCCAATGGGGCAAATATTAGACGTTTGGTGCACAATCAAAGGTAAATCGGACGAAGTTATATATGGGAGCTATATCCAAATCTGAACCGATCTTGATAAAATTTAGCAAATGTATTTCTGAGATGTTTTTGATATATTGTTGTTACAGGGTGCATATTACGGCTGCGGAGGAAAAAATAGCAAATCGGATGAACAATATATATGGGAGCTATAGCTATATCTGAACCGATTTCGATCAAATTTGGCATACTTATTTTCAGGTCCAATCTGATCGTACTTGCAAAATTCCATACTATTCGAATTGATATTACACGTTTGGTGCACAATAAAAGGCAAATCGGACGAAGATATATATGGGAGCTATATCTAAATTTTGACCGATTATCTCCAATTTCAGAAGGGTTCGTCCTTGGGCCAAACAAATGACTTGTGCAAAATTTCATGTGGATGGGGCAATAAATGCGAACTGTACTTTGTTTACAAAAATACATGGACAGACGGACAGACGGATGGACGGACAGACGGACGGTCGGACATGCATAAATCTACTCAGAATGTGATTCTATGCAGATCATCAAAAGGAACTATGGATCTATCTCGTTTCCTTTTGCCTGTTACAAACAAATGTACAAAGACATAATACCCTGACCACCTTGTGGTGTAGGGTATAATTATTTATGCAGGAGTCTTCGTATAGCCACCAGGACATATTTTACCGAAAAATCAAGATAAAAGTTCGCAATGGGTACTACAGCCTTTGAAAATTGTACAATTTTGTCCCGGCCGAACTTAGCTTAGCTTTTTAACTCGTTGCTCTCTACGTTTTCTCATGAGCGGCTCGCACCTGAGCCCTCGTATATATTCCGTCTAACCTCAATACTAGTAATTACTAGAATTTCGAAATGTTGCAAAGATATTGGGATAAGATTGAAAATTGTTCATGCAGGTACATGTCTTCGCAAAGTTCGTAATGTATAATACAACCTATAGCAAAAAATTGCGTATGGAGGTCCACGGTTTTCATTTAAACCGTATTTTGAGTTTTTATACCCTCCACCAAAGTATATATATTCTGGATCAACGTAAAATTCTAAGACTATCTCGCGATGTCCGTCTGTCTGTCTGTTGTAATCACGCTATCTTTCGAACGAATTGAGATAGAAGGCTAAAACTTTGCATCCATGCTTAGTTTATCAGTAGGCATATTAAGTTCGTAAATGGGCCATGTTGGTCCACGTTTTCGTATAGCCCCATATAACGGTACCTCCCGATATTCGGAATTTTCATGATTTTAGCGACAGTATTTACCGTAATTATTTCAAATTTCTTATTCAAAGTTCGTAATAGGTATTACAACCTATGACAAACCTTTTTTATATGCAGATCCACATCTTTGTTGAGCCCCCATAAACGGTATCTCCCGATATTCGGTATTTTGATGATTTCAGGGTGCTACAGCCTAACACAAAAAAATTGTATGTAATTTCACGTTTTCGTATATCCCCTATATAGCGGGTTCCATTGAAGTGGAAGTTTTCTGATTTTTTTTTTTTTTTTTTTTTTGTAAATTGTTCAATTTCCTTTCAAATTGTGGAGACTTAGCTTCATTATACCCTACACCACAAGGTGGTCAGGGAATTATGTCTTTGTGCATTTGTTTGTAACAGGCAAAGGAAGCGAGATAGACCCATAGTTCCTTTTGATGATCTGCATAAAATCACATTCTGAGTCGATTTATGCATGTCCGTCCGTCTGTCCACGTATTTTCGTAAAGAAAGTACAGTTCGCATTTATTGCCCTATCCAGATGAAATTTTGCACAAATCATTTGTTTGGCCCAAGGACGAATCCTATTGAAATTGGAGATAATCGGTAAAAATTTAGATATAGCTCCCATACATTTCTTCGTCCGATTTGCCTTTTATTGTGCACCAAACGTGTAATATCAGCCCGAATAGTATGGAATTTTGCACAAACAACCAAATTAGGCCTGAAAATAAGTATGCCAAATTTGATCGAAATCGGTTCAGATATAGATATAGCTCCCATATATATTGTTCATCCGATTTGTTATTCTTGTCCTTCGCAGCCGTAATATGTACTCTGCATCAACAATATTTGGGCAAATATATCAAATGCAGCTCAAATCGGTTCAGATTCGGATATAGCTCCCATATATAACTTCGTCCGACTTACCTTTTATTGAGCACCAAACGTCTAATATTTGTCAAAATGGGATGGAATTAGGCACATACGACCGAATTGAGTGTAGAAGGTAGTATGCCAAATTTGGTGAATATCGGTTCAGATATAGCTATAGCTCTCATATATATTGTTCATCCGATTTCTAGTAATATGCACTCCGTAACAACGATATTCAGGGAAATATATGAAATACAGCTCAGAAATACCTTTGCTAAATTTTATCGAGATCGGTTCAGATTTAGATGTAGCTCCAATATATATCTTTATCTGATTTCAAATTAATTTTGCACCAAATGGCCCTTACAAGCCCGAATTTAAAATATACAAATGCTTCGGCATATTTAGTCCTTTGAACTGTAAATAATAATTATAATCATAGCGTGTAGGATTGAATTCTCCCATAAAAACTTTTAATTGTTACGTGGAGCTCTACTAAATTAGCAAAGTGGTGTAGGGTATCAAAAAGTCGGCCCCGCCCGACTTTAGGACGTTCTTTACTGGTTATACGTGGCTTCATAAAAAGTCATAATGTAATAAAATCAAGATGAACGATTTTTGGTACTTAAGTGTACCAAATACTGTTCCATCGGTAGAGAGTAAACGAACAGTGCTAATTCTTTTAATTGCAGTTTGTATTTATGTCAAGCAAAAAGGGGTTTTCGGGTTTATGAATACTATAAGAGTACTAGAGTTGTTTTTGAAGTTATAACGAATTTAGGGTATGAAAGGTATTAGTTCATCAGAATAAAGTAAAAAATAAGTAATTTTTGAATGTCGACTTTATGAGTGCTGAAAAGGATGCTGAGAAGACCCTAAATTATTTTTTCCTCTCCTTAATATATTTTTCTTCTTCTTCTTCTTCTTCGGATTTTGTTACAGCTCTTGGGTTATACAACCATGTCTGGAGTTATCAGTCCAACCAATCTTAGCCTGTACTCATCAACAACAGGCGTTTCATCACATCGCACAACACCGAGATCACGTTGGAATACATCGTTCCTGTCTATGGAGGATGATTTCAATATGATGTCCCACACACTGACAAGCACAAATCCGGAGGCAACACCGGTTATTCTAATGGAAGACTGTGAGTAATGCTCCCTTCATTCTCTGATTTTTTTTCTCAAATTTCTCCCGTTTTGTTTTTTTTAAACAACAGCTGGTCGTTATAGCGATGAATATGTAACGAGTCGCGACTACGTTACATGATTATAAATGCAACAAACGTTTTATATGCCCTACTAGAACTGCAATCAACAGACAAAAACAACAACAACAACAACAAAACAATAATACTAACAACAAAAGAGAAACTGTAAGAAAAATAAAATACTAAATTATATTATAATAATTATAAGTTAAATTAGACTATTTATTATTACTATTACTATTATGATAAATTATTTAGTTTTTATAAAAGGAAAATATTTTTTTAGAAACCAGTTAAACGATAACTGTTCGTTAAAGATGAAAAAGAAATATAAATGAAAAAGAAAAACATGTTCAAATGTTTAAAAACATAATAAATATAAAACTTAAAAAAGAAGGAAGAGCATAACAACACAAAAGCCCAGGTAAAAAGTAAACTAGACAAAGGAGAAAGTAGGGAAAGTTCAAAAAAAAATAAGTGAATTAAAAATTCAAAAATTTAAATTTGCAATTGGGAATTCTTAGAGAATCCTCTTCGCAGAAGTTGTGAGGCTCTAGCATTTGTTGTTATCAGCAATGTCCGATGTCCAAAGTGAAATTTCATGATAACTAATGGTGGGATAAACAGTGCTACTTGAAAAAAGCTCTTTTAAATGATGAGTGAGAATTCTGGCAATAATTATTATTATCATATTCAAATGAATGACATTTATAATATTTTTTTTTTTTTGGAATAGATCACAGAAAATTAAATTTTGCTAATTAAACTTAGAAAAAAATATATCACAAAATGCTTTTTGGGGTTCCTCTAAATCAGTCCTGGTCATTTGTTATGAATCATCCAAAGAGATAAATTCGAAATTTGTTTACATTTGCCATAAAAATTTCTACAGCAATTCTGTATTTTCTTGAAAACATTTTCATAAGGGAGCAGAAAAAATATTAAGGATAAGGATATGTTTTAATATTAAAATTAATAATTTCCAATTTGTTTTTAAAATTTCGGGCGTTTCACTTCAAATTTTAAGTCAATAATTTATAATTTTCATACGCGCACTGTGGTACTTGAAAAAAAGACAATTTTAAATTACAAAAAATTCTGAGTAATATATTTACTTGATCATTAAAAATTTTGAATTTTCTAGTTATATATTAAATTAAACAACTACAAACACATTGCCAACAATTTTCTTGGGAGTTCATGCAAATCAGTCCTGGTCAGACTGTTTTGTTATGAATTATTCAAAGAGTTTAATTGACAATTAAATAATTTTTCTATTTTTCTTTTTATTTTCAAAATTCAATCATCAAAAATGTAATGGGAAATTATTGATAATACAGGGTGAGATAAAAGACTGCACAAAGTCAAACGACATAATTTTGACATTTTTTTTTTAATTTTATTGAATGAAAGCAAAAAATGTTGGAAATAGCATCAAATTTTAGAATAAGCTTAGATTTGTTCGAATTGGCCACCCTTTGGCTCGAATTATGGCCTTCAAACGGCCAATGAAACCGTCACACGCTGGTCGAATGTTGCTCTGCGGTATTTTGGACCATTCCCGGCTACACACACAATAGTCCAACGGATTGGTATCCGGAGATTTTGGTGGCCATTGTGCGCTGGAAATGAAGCGAGGAACCTCATTTTCTAACCATTCTTGGATGGAATGTGCTGAGTCCTGTTGGAATGTCCATGGTCTACGGCCAAAATGTTTATTACACCCTCCAGAATATTTTCGAGATAATATTCGGCCGACCGTGACGATTAATACGAGCGACCATCGGCTGTTATGGCGGCTCACTTCATCACCATGGCCGGCGCTTGAGTTCTGGTGAACATTTTCAGCTGACCACTTTTGGCCAAGCGTAGCAACTCGTTAGCTCTTTTGAGAATATTTTCTTTACCTTGCGATGTAATTTCAATGGCTTTACCTCGATCTCATTTTTCAATATTTGCCGAATGGAATATTGCGATATGTTCAGCTCACGAGCCATTTTTCTGCCACTGCTCGGGTTTCGATCAAGTCAAACCATTTCTGCTGATGTTGCTGTTTCCTTCCGTCCACTTCACGGTAACGTCATAATAATGATGAGCTGTCACTAATAATAATTTGACTAAGAAATGACAGCAGTCTGAAATTGGTTGCAGTTTTTTCATCTCACTCTGTATATGTTTTTATGTAAAAAGGAATGCCGAAAATAAAAGATTATTTATTATATTTGTAAAATCTGCAACACGTCATAAAAATATTTTTTAGATATGAAAATAGATTTTATTTAAAAAAATTACAAGGTCGAGTTCGTCAGAAAGGGGTTGCCATATCAAATTTATCAAATGAGTTCACCTTTATTGTTCTGTCATGAGGATACCTTTCAAGGGACATTTGTTTTATATTCTTAATATTTCTCAGTTTTCTGTTTAAATACCTTTGATTTCACTCCATTACAAGTATGTTAATTACAGTCAATAGACTAACTTTTCTCTTGCCGTCGAAACTTAAGTGCTACGAAAATTTTCCAAAGAGCTATTGGACAAACTCCTGCTTTAGTCAAAAATTGATAATAGTCATACGCACTGTGGTACTTGGAAGCAGAACAATTTTTAATGATAATAAATTATTCGTAATAATTTTTTTAAGTTAAATATTTCAATGAAGGTAATTTATTACACTCTATAAATTGAACATAAAAACTATAAATTTTGTAAATTAAACACACAGATAATTGTTCAAGCTAGAGGTGGCGTTAGAAAAATATGTTAGATGTCAACAAAATTTCCTTTGGTGTTCATCCAAATCAGTCCTGGTCAGATTGGTTTGTTATGAATATTAGAATGAAGTTGAATGACGCTTAAAATACCATTTCAATATTAATTTGTAACTTTAATCATTATTTTCTCTATATTGCTAATAAAAAAAACTTTCAAAGAATAATAGATCATTAAATTCTGGAGTTTTAAAATATTAAAAATCTGTTGTACTTCTTAACTTTTTTAAAATTTTCGTTGAAATTCCGTCATGTTCCACTTAAAAAGGTGCACAAACATACAACCACTTGTTTTATCTTACATTTGTCATCTAACCTGAGTCTCTACGACAATTTTTCAAAGAGATATTAAATAAAACCCCGTTTTACCCACTAATTAATATTATTCATACGCAATGTGGTACAAGAAATATGTTTTCAAAATACAACACATTTTTCCTTAATAATTTGAAAAAAAAAATACCTTATGTTTTATTTTTAAACATTTTAACCATTAGTCTCATCTTTCATTTGCCAACAAATCTAAGTCTCTACAACAATTTTCCAGAGGGCTATTGGTCATTTTAGCCAATAATTAATATTAGTTATACGCCACGTGGTTCAAGGGGTTTATTATTATAATACAACACAGGTTGTCAAATAATTTAAAATAAAATAATTTATACATTAAGTAACTACAGTTTTTATGTTGGATAGCTTATATCACTTCTCATTGAATTTCTGACATATAAAGTTTATACAAATAAGTCCTGGTCAGACTTTTTTGTAATGAATAATATATGAAATTTTAATGAAAGTTGAGATGCTTTGTGACTTTAATATTTATTTTTTCCATATTATAATAAAAAAAAAACAATTATCAACAACAGTAGGTACTACAATTCTGGGGATTTAAAAAATAAAAATTTAATATTCATCAATTTATTTTTCTATTATTTTTTTCTGAAAAAATTCCTCATGATTTGCTTGAAAAGAAATAGGAATATTATAAACACTAGTCTTATCTTTTATTTGCCATCAAAATCAAGTTTCTATGGCAATTTCTTAAAGAACTATTTTATAAAAAGTCATTATACCCAATAATTAATATTAGTTATACGCCATATGGTCCAAGAAATTTATTTTTTTAATACAACGCAAGTTCTCAGATAATATGAATTTAAATAATAATGTTTACATGCAATCTATAAAGTTCTTCTACATTAAAATTGGAGAATTAGCGTTACATTACATATGTCAGCACTCATCATATTCCCAAAATAAGTTGTTCATCCAAATCAGTCCTGGTCAGATTTTTTTGTAATGAATAATGAAATTAATGAAAGATGAGACACTTTTTCAACACATATTTGAAACTTTAATCTTTATTTTTTCCTATATTGCTATTAAAAACACAATTATCAAAGAATAATAGATTAAAAATTCTGGAAGTATAAAAAAATAAAAAATGTCCATTCTTTAATATCATTTTAATTTTTCTGTTAAATTTCCTCATGATTTGCTTGAAAAGAAGAAGAAACATTATAACCACTAGTCCAATCTTTTATTTGCCAAGAAAATCAAGTTTCTACGGCAATTTTCCAAGGAACTATCAAATAAAAAGTCATTGTACCCAATAATTAATATTAGTTATACGCCATGTAGTCCAGACCATTATTTTATAAATACAACACACCTTCTCAAATATTTAAATATTTGATAAATAACGTGTTTTATGAAACTACATTTAAAATTGAATTATTATTGTTAGATAGAGTATGTCAGCACTTATTAAATTCCAGATATAAATATTGTTCATCCAAATCAGTCCTGGTCAGACTTTTTTGTTATGAATTATAAAAAGGAAATTTTAATAAAAGTTGGGTTCCTTTTTAACACTAATTTGTAATTATTATTTCTACTTTCCAAATATTGCTATTAAAAAACAATTATCAAACAATGGCAGGTACTAAAATTCGGAGGGTATAAAAAATACAACATTTTGTTGCTCTTCATTTTTTTTTTTTAATTTTTCAGTACAATTAGCTCATGTTTTCCTTGAAAAGAAACATTACAACCACTAGTCTTATCTTTTTTATTTGCCAGGAAAATCTTCTCAAATATTTTGAATTTAAATAATTAAACATTTGATAAATAATATTTTTTATGTAACTACATTTAAAATTTGATTACTAGTGTTAGATAGAGTATGTCAGCACTGAAAAAATTCCTGACATAAATATTGTTCAGCCAAATCAGTCCTGGTCAGACTTTTTTGTAATGAATAATAGAAAGAAATCTAATGAAAGTTGAGATACTTTTTAAACCCTAATTTCTAACATTTATTCTTTATTTTTTCTCATATTGCTATTAAAAAAATAATTATCATAAAATTCTGGAGGTTTTATTTTTTTCTTCAATTTCATATTAATTTTTCGGTAAAATTCCCTCATGCTTTGTTTAAAAAAGTAGGGACATTGTAAACACTACTCCTATCTTTCATTTCATTCATCTAAACTAAGTCTCTACGGCAATTTTCCAAATAGTTATTGGATAAAAAGTTAATTTACCAATAATTAATGTTATTTATACGCCATATAGTCCCAAAAATGTATTTTTATAAATCAAAAAAACTTCTCAGATGATATGAATTTAAATAACATATGCATGCAATCAATAAACCTTATTTTTTACTAATATTCAAAATATTAGTGATAGATAGATTATGCCACTTTTCATAAAATTCCTAGAATACATAGTTTATCCAATTCAGTCCTGGTCAGACTTTTTTGTTATGAATTATAGAAAGAAATTTTACTGAAAGTTGGGATACTTTTTTCAACACTAGTTTGAAACTTTAATCTCTT